TAACTCTGGGCTAACCAGTGTTTTGACACACTTTAGTCACCTGGGTATGGTGGTCACAACTTAAATTATAAAAAACTCACCCCTGGAGCACACATAATGCCCCAAAAGATAGAAGAAGGACCCAGAGATCCTGCCAGGTTGAAGCCAGCCACGAGAGAGCGAGTCAGTGCGAGGGAGAGAGAGAAAGAGGCTAAGCTCCTCCCACCAAAACAAAAGACTGTTGCCAAGCACAATTCTCCAGTTACCACAATTCTACCACACCTTAATTTTACTTTTACAAAAGGAATACAACTTTATAAACTACTTATTTGCCAAGCACAATTCTCCAGTTACCACAATTCTACCACACCTTAATTTTACTTTTACAAAAGGAAATACAACTTTATAAACTACTTATTTGCATTGTGTGTTTATGTGTCTATAGTATAACCTATTATATTGAGAAAAAATAGGCTTGACCAGCTGCCTCAGTCATAAGGTTGATCAGTCCTTCTGACATTTAGAGCAAAGTCCCCATCAATTCAATATAATTAGGTATTCCAGAGTAACTGTTACTTATAAATACATGTTGGGTCCTATAGCCCCATAACACCCCCACCTCCAGACGAAGTCTCACAAAGCTAGCTGTGTCCCTCAGGATCGGCTAGTAAAAAGTATATTGCTTAAGTCTGAAGGCGGTAAACAAGACTACTAGAAATGCTACATTTTCCCAGCACCATAACTACTCTTCACTTTACTGTTATTTACAAGAGATTGCAGAATTTTTTAGAAAAGCAATTTAACCATACCCATATACTCAAGTGTGTAACTATTTAACAATTTTTAGTGACTTTTAAACAATACACATTACAATGCAAAATTTTGCAACACAATGCCCACTGTGAAAGCCCGCACCAAAGGCCTGTGCCTCTGCTACGGTAATCCAGCAAGCAACTGGTACTCCAGGGTGGCATCTTCCTGATCAGGAGACGAGAGTAGAGCAAACCCAGAGCAGTCAGGTGTACCCCAGGCAGGAAACTTCACAAAACATGTCAAGGTGTCTCTCACTTGGTGGCCGAACCAAACAGTGAGACTTCCAGTCAACACTCACGATCCTTAACATGGTCAGGCACTTAAGCCCATCTTCCGAGGTCCCACTCCACACAGATCCTCCAAACTTATGAAAAGGAGGCTGACATAGAACATGGAGGGGTCCAAGGGACCACAAAGGCAAATCGTCGGGCCGTTTTGTATATAGAGCACACCAAGACACAACATCACATACCTTCCTGAACGTCTCATGTTACCGAAGGTTGTCAACCACTGCCTCAACTCGCATTTACGTACACCCTGACCCTCGTCACACTTTTGGCTCTGACTCGACTCCTTCACAGTCAGATGGCTGGTAGAGAGTACTCAGGCTCGCCGAGAGTTCACCACTGCAAAAACAACAAGGTCAGCACAAGACAAACACTATGTACAAAGTACGCACCATGCATCTACATGAAACATCTAGAGAGAGCATCAGCAACCACATTCTCTGAGCCTTTTATATATTTGACTTCCAAATTAAAAGGCTGTAGGAACAAAGCCTATTTTAAGAGTGATTTTAGTCACCATACACAAGAACAGGATGAAGAGATCCTGAGACATGTACAAATGCTGAATAGCCAGCCCCAAAATGAAAATTTTCTTTCCTGTGGTAAAATGTTGACATTTAAATTTAGAAGGTTGCTCGTTGATAGTAACAGTTCTGCAACCTCTCGCAGTGCAACAGCAACACCAAGACATCTCTTTGCACCCAGGTTGGATACATCAAGTTTACACAAACACCATCACGTTCCATCTCACACACAAATTTTAAACACACAATGAACACAATTTGCATTACACACATTAAAATGGTGCTTGAACACAGACCATGGAAATCACATCTTCCATGTTTTAGCTTATTTAAAATGTTTGCATCTTTTAGTGCATAAGTATCAATCTTTCTATTCTGTAAACCTTAGTTGTTAACGTACTCTGTGGTAGTCAGTGTTTATGCCCAGGGTGCCATCTAATTTGGGAACCATGAAGCATGGGAATGCCCACTGACTCTCACTAAGCACTACAAACTGGTGTTGGAAGAATTTCACTTCTTCCTCCATCTCCAATTTTTCATACAGATTTTTCCTCACAAAAATTGTTGAATTGGCTCAGCTTCCTTAACAATTTCTTCATTGAGTTTCAACTTTTTCCCCCATTACTGACATCCAAACTTTTATAAAGTTCCAAGTGGCTGAGCCAACTCTCCAACATTTTTCTCATTAAAACCAAGCATGCATTTCCCAAAATCTTTTACACACATGTTATTTCTTAAATACACTTTTGGTATTTTCATACAGATTATTGTTTTGCAGCCCTTTACATTCCATTAAAACATTGGTCTCTCTGAATTTTTGACATAACTTCAAACCCTTTAACCGGTTACTGTGTACACTATACTCATTCTTCTCTTGCTTGGGGGTGTGGGTTTTATATCTAACCCCTGGGAACTTCCCCCACAACATGTTCAGCTCACAGCAACTTGCCATACAGATTTTCACATGAATTTTCTCCAGTATCAGCACTTCCTCTCCAGCCTCCAGAGTATCATGGTCCACATTATGGTCCCACATCATCATCCTGGTCTGGTTGATGGGCACGTTCACTGGTACCATCCACCTCATACGAGTCAAACAGTGTCTGAAACTGAGAAAAAGCTCCGAGGGGGGAGCATCACCATCCTCCCCAAGCCAATAGCTCAGAGATTCCAGTGCTTCCCCACTCAGCAAATACAAAGAAAGGGATCCTCTCATCCCAGTTGTTAGTATTGTCTATTCCATAGGCTGGCATCATTGTCTTGAGGGTTTGATGTAATTTCTCTATTTCCCCCTTGAGATGGAGAGTGATACACAGTTGAACACTGAGGCTCTACTTTTAGTCCCTTCAAAACATTTCTAAAAGGCTTTGAGGTAAAGTTAGGCCCTTGGTCTTCTTGCACTGCTTCGAGGAAAACAAAACATGAAAAAAGAACTTCATCAAAACCCTTAAGACTACATGAGCAGTTATCTTATGCAGAGGGACTGCTTCCAGGTACCTGGTAGTGGGAGCAAATATTTGTGAGTAAATAATCATTTCCCAGTTTGGTCCTTGGGAATTGGACCAAGTACATCTACTACCAGCTTGCTGAAGGGTTCACCTGGTGCTGAAATAGACTGGAGGGGAACGGTTTAATACTTAGACTAGGTTTCCCTATAAATTGAAAGACTGATAGGTCTCAATATACCTCTAGACAGTCTCCCACAGCTGAGACCAGAAGAAATGCCTGGAAACCTTGGACTTCACCATCTGGGGAAAAACCTTGTTCTCCTTCCATCGATACTGCAAACAGAGGTGAATTCTTTGTAAGAGTTTCCTCCCTGAAATGAAAACACTTATTTAACTGTAAAATCTCTTCCTCAGCAACAGCGACATTTTCTGCACAGAAATTATTGCACCCTAGCAGGTGCAGCCTCTCTCACATTATTTAACTGATCCATTCTCCAATCATGCTCAGCTCTGGCTGGAACATCCTTTTCTTCAGTTGACTGCAGTTCAACATCAGAAAGCAGAGTTACCAAACTTAAGCCCTCACCATCCTCATGAGAAATATGAAGACTGTTGGTAGCATGATCATGAGCCATACTTCTCATGGTGGAACCATCAGGGAGAAGGTCTGGCAGGGTTTTCCTAGCCATTTCCTCCCAACATTTGGGATTTGGTTTCCCCCAAACTAGTTGTTCCTCACTGGCTAACAGACCCATAACATTATTCCCTAATAAGAGGTCGACCCCTTTGAAGGGAATTTCATCTGAGATACCTACAGGGAGATAGCCAACTTGGTATGCAGATTCTACCCATAATTTGTGTACAGGTGTCCTTATGGTTGAACCCGTAATACCCTTCAACAATATATCTTCCCCAGTATAGGTATCCTTAGACACTGGTAGCACCCAGCACGTAGCAAAGAGTAGGTGCTACATCCATCTCTCAAGGACATATGTTCTCAACTCTGCCTACATCCTTTTGCAAACCAACTGTGGACCTACTGAAAATATACACATCCTGGGGTCTAGATCCAAAGGTTCCTCCTCACCTTGCCTTGAAGACCTAATGCAGGCAACTGGATGTATCTCTGCAGTTATGAGTCCTCTGGGGTGGTTCCTCCCTTTCCTGATCTCTCCGCCTTGACCAGCAAAAACTTTTGAGTGTGTCCAGTTTTGTTACAGTAGTAACAGGCATAACTCTTAAAGGTATTTTACCATTTGGTGTAGGACTGGTACTGTTTACTCGAGGACCTGAAACATTATCTGATTGTCTAGGTAAACTTTGAACTCCAGCTGACTTACCTTTTCCTTCTATTTATAGGGCACCTCAGCCTTCATTTTTCCTGAAAATTCTTGTCCCACTTACCTTTATGACCATAAGACTGGAATAAGGTTTAGAATGAGTGGGGAAATTTTCAGAAGCAGCATGACTGTTTTTTACTTACCAATTCCCTGCGAGCCAAAAATCGGTCACCTAGATCCAGTGCTTCAGAAAGATTATCTGGGTTTTTGTCCTCTAAATATTCTCTGAGGTCAACAGGGATTGTATTGTACAATTCCTCATGAACCATCAGATCTACTAATTTGTTATAGTCTTTATTAACTCCTTTAGAACAAACCCATTTCTTAAAAAGGAACAGTTTCTCATTCCCAAACTCAGTTAAGGTCTGCCCATCCTGAAATTTTTTTCCTGAACTTTTGCCTATATTTCTCAGGTATCATTTGGTATGCAAGCAATACTTCCTCTTTAATCTTATCATAATCAGAAAAATCTTGCCCCTCCAGAGTCTCTACTCTCTGGAATCCTTTACCTACAAGTTTGTGTGCGAACTAGGGTAGCCCACTTCTGTTTGGGCCATCCTGTCCAAAGCAGTCTTCTCAAAAAAAGAAAATACTCATCTGGGTCACTCTCTGTAAACTTAGGGACAAAATTTGCAGCTTTAGTTATGTTAAAGTACTGCTCAGGCTCTTGTTCTGAACCTCCTAACCTTTGACGTTTCTTTCTCCTTAGCTTTCATTAATTTCATTTCAGCCTCTAGTACAGCTAATTTCAGTCTCATTCTCTCCATTTCCATATCACTGGAGTAGGTGATTCCTCATCTTCACTATTAACGGCATTGTTTACTGATGAATTATTCCTTCTTCCCTGAAGCCTAAAAAAATCTGAAGACTCATCTTCTGACATAGTTTTATCTTTAAACACTTGCTTCCCTCTTACAGTTCAGTGGACAAAGTTTTCCCACAGGCACATAAAATAACACAAATTGAATGTAAACTATGCACATAGCACTTACCATAACCACAACAAAAATGTGTTACTCCCTTTCCCCCCACCTTAGGAGAAAAACAACCTGTAAACTAATATATGAAAACAACACTTCCACTGACACCCTTGGTAAATCTTCTACCAGAAACATGCAACTGTTATTACCCCATACCAGCACATATAGTTCATGGAATGTTTCTGAGTTATTTTAGCAGTCAAATAACTCTCCCGGACAGGCCCCCATGTTACGTTGGTTTGTCCCTTATTACTTTGATAGTAAGGTTCTCACTACATGTTCTAGTGTGGGGTAGCTTTTACTTAATGGTCTTATTTGTCTAGGGTAATACTTACATCATGGCTGATCATCCTGGTGTCTCTGATACCCTTTCACCAGCCCTCTTCACAGGTTATGTAAACTACTACTATAAAAATATAACTGTATTCTCAATAGATATGTACAGAATATACAATTACAGCCTCACATTTCAAAACACGATCTACACACTGCATAGCTGTTCTCCCACATGGTATATCTCAACAACTTTAGTCCTCTCTCTCCTTGACATAACTCTGGGCTAACCAGTGTTTTGACACACTTTAGTCACCCTGGGTATGGTGGTCACAACTTAAATTATAAAAAACTCACCCCTGGAGCACACATAATGCCCAAAAGATAGAAGAAGGACCCAGAGATCCTGCCAGGTTGAAGGCCAGCCACCGAGAGAGCGAGTCAGTGCGAGGGAGAGAGAGAAAGAGGCTAAGCTCCTCCCACCAAAACAAAAGACTGTTGCCAAGCACAATTCTCCAGTTACCACAATTCTACCACACCTTAATTTTACTTTTACAAAAGGAATACAACTTTATAAACTACTTATTTGCAAGCACAATTCTCCAGTTACCACAATTCTACCACACCTTAATTTTACTTTTACAAAAGGAAATACAACTTTATAAACTACTTATTTGCATTGTGTGTTTATGTGTCTATAGTATAACCTATTATATTGAGAAAAATAGGCTTGACCCAGCTGCCTCAGTCATAAGGTTGATCAGTCCTTCTGACATTTAGAGCAAAGTCCCCATCAATTCAATATAATTAGGTATTCCAGAGTAACTGTTACTTATAAATACATGTTGGGTCCTATAGCCCCATAACACTGGGAAACCAGTTATTTTCATATAGTCGGACTTGAGTCCTGGAAATGGGAAGTACAATGCCTGCACTTTAAAGGAGGGTCACCCTGCCTCGGTGGGAGACGGCCGACTTGTTGAAAAAAAAAAAAAAAACTTATCAGATATGAAATAGTCTGCTAAATTGTTCTTGGATACCTGCTACATGTATTTTTTAGTGTTTTAAAATAAATAATGATTACTGAATGTTACTAAATATGTAATGAAGTGGATGAAGGTGATGCGTCGGCAGCGAAGGTGGTGTCAGATTGGTAGCAAAGGACAAAGTCAAGAATTTTATTGATGCATTTTTTGGGGTTAAGTATGCCAGTTCTGATTGTTGAGGCTTTGTGCCTTAGTGGAGAGCATGTTCAATTCCTTTGGATCAAGAGCCATTCACTGGCTTCAAAGAACCTCCCTTGAAGGGAGCTGATTTGGAAACGGCACCTGATAGTTACGTATAGAATTGTCTTTTATTGTTACAATCACGGCAAAACAGTTTCATCTCTCTACCACAGTCATCATTACCATCCATCCACTCCTCTCTATTAATTTGTTAAATCAAAGTTTTACTGTCATGTTTATATTAATGTAAGCATTAATACTGTATTTGTTATTATATTCATGTTAAGTGCTAAATCTGCAAATAATCATCAATACACATATCATTTTCTTGGTCTTTGTTATCTTCATGCACTTCATTAATTTTAGAAATTTATGTACTTGGTGTAATTTTTGTCTATATAGGTTAAGATAAAACTAATATACTCTTTTTTGTTTCAACAGAATTCCTCTGTGGGGTGGAGTGCTGATCACCATTGCAGACACCTTCACGTTTTTAGCCCTGGATCGCTATGGCCTACGCAAGCTGGAAGCCTTCTTTGGCTTTCTCATTCTTGTAATGGCTGTTACGTTTGGCTATGAGTATGGGGTTGCCAAGCCAGATCAGCTACAGGTACTGAAAGGCTTGTTTGTCCCTGGCTGTTCCAAGTGTGACATTAGTGCCCTACTCAAGGCAGTAGGCATTGTGGGAGCTGTCATAATGCCTCATAACCTCTACCTACATTCTGCTCTTGTAAAGGTATGATGAGCATTTTTTGGTGCCAAAATATTTTGGTTTCCTTTTATGATTTAATAATAAGACATAGTTTAAAAGTTTCAGATCAAAGTGTAGAAAATATTATAGTTAAATTTTGTAGCGAGTGAACATTTCAGGTACAGTTTGAATTATTCAGTTTCTGCAGTTTTTTATAATTTATAGGATAAACTTGTTTATAGATAATCTGATATTGTAAAGGTTCTCTTTGCATATCACTATATTTAGTTGCTGAGGGATTATGGGTACCTTGCAGGGAAAGAGGTAAGAGAAGGGGAAGTGCTTTGTCTTGGATCTGTCCAGTGGTTAGAGAAATCAACTATACTGATATCAACTTTCATGCTTACTAATTTCTTTGCCTCTTCCTCATCATGGAACAGCTTATTATTCATGCCTGAAAAAAAGTTGCAGCAGATGCTCATATGTAGAAATCTTGTTCACCTTATAAACATTATAGATTGATAGATACAATTACCCTAGCATTACTAGTGAGCAATGTAGAAGGTAACATGTACTTGTCATGGACTCCTGCATAATATTGAATGTTGTATATGTTTTGTCTAGGCTTCTTGTTTAGGTGAGTAAATTTTAATTTAGCATGTGCTGCTCAGATGTCAATTGATAATATCCCATTGTCTGTTATATATGCTATTCCTACTTCATATCTTATTCCAAATTGTTTGTTATAACATTGCAAGCTATCGAGTCTTTGATATTTTAAATGGGTTTACTGTTTAAAAAATTATTTTTCTTTATTGACATAAGACATAACATTATTTACCATAAAATATATTCATATTTCTTTAATCTTTGTAAATATTTTCTCACTACTGTTGTCTTCTTATATATATATCTGTAAGCAAAGGCTGTATACTGAAATTTTTTACTATTGAAATATATCGCTCCTTTCAGTCTCGAGATGTGGACCGCAAAAAGAAAGATGATGTGAAGGAAGCCAACAGATACTTCTTCATTGAAGCCTGCATTGCTCTCCTGTGTTCGTTTATCATTAATGTATTTGTAGTAGCAGTGTTTGCCAAGGGAATGTATGGTGTCACCAATCAAGAAGTGGTGAGGCCGCAAATTGTCTACACATTATTCTGTTTCTGATGGCAACTTTTTTTTGCTATGAGGTTATCAGGTCAAGGAGTCACAGTTTTATTAGTTCCTGTTTATTAAATTTTATATTGTAGCCATAGTGTTATTTTACTAAGTACACTGTATTACATTCCATTGATAGCATGTATCAGTTTTGCCTGTCACTATGCTCACAGTTAAAGGATATACTGTAATCATAAATTGGTCAGTTGCACAAATTCTTTGGTAGAGATTGTTAGTTATGATATAAGTATTTTCCACAGTACAGGTATAGGCAAAATGCTTTTCCCTTCAGAAATGAACTGCCATATGTTGGCTGGATTGATCTTATCCTCAGACTCCTTTGATGGATCCACATACTTTTTCTTCAATCCATAAAAATTTAGGTTAAAGTTCTCTTTACATTAAAGATAATTATACGTTAAAGAAATCTCATAGTTAAAGCACAGTAGAAACAGGATATTACCCATTTTCCTGTCAAATTAATATTGCTACTGAATTAATGCCCTACTATAATGTCATGTGCTAGCAGATGAATGCCATGTAACCTTTGCCAGAATAACATGGTGCCAGTCACTGACAGAAGTAAGGACGTCATATAATCAAATCAACCATTGTAGATACAAATGGATGTATTTTGTGGACTATCCACATGGGTCACTGATAGTTGTGGGCACAGTTAACCGAAAAGTTAGTTTTGCTAACCGCTTATCCGCTAACTAAAAATTAGCTCCACTCATGCTAAACTGCCTAATGGCCGAGAAAATTAGTGGAAGCTAACGCTAAATGCTAACCACTAACTTTTTCTCATGAATTCAGATTCGGTATTTACTTTTTAAAAAGTACTGAAATTGCTCACTACTTTTACTTAAATACTGAAGTCTGTTATTACTTCACTACAATCTGATAATGATAAGAGATAGATAAGATAAGATTTTCTTCGGATTTTAACCCTGGAGGGTTAGCCACCCAGGATAACCCAAGAATGTCAGTGCGTCAACGAGGACTGTCTAACTTATTTCCATTGGGGTCCTCAATCTTGTCCCCTATGATGCGACCCACACCAGTCAACTCACACCCAGGTACCTATTTGCTGCTAGGTAAACAGGATAACAGGTGTAAGGAAATGTGTCAAAATGTTTCCACCCGCCGGGAATTGAATCCGGGCCCTCCGTGTGTGAAGCGAGAGCTTTAGCCACCAGGCCACCGGGCCTGCCATCTTCATTACATCATCAGTAATTTTTGAAAAGTAAACACCAAGAAAAGTTATTCAAGTACAGAACTCAGGTAGTTTTACTTTGTTACTTTACAACACTGGGAAAGTTACTGTACTTCTAAACTGTCATAACTTGCAATACCCATGAAAATTAGGAAAATATAAAAAAAAGCTATACTGTAGTATTAGTTTAATAAGTGCTTATAACTCATAAATATCTTATAAGATACTCTTCCAGCTGTTTATGGCTGACCAAAATCCTCCTGCCCAGGGTGCGGCGGGACTTTGGCGTCTTGCTGGGGTTCAGCATCTTGATGAGGCTGACAAAGGTGGGGGATTCCACTACATGCAGCGGTAGCATGTTGCAGATGAATAGAGGGTTGAGCGGCCTCTGCTTTAACCACAGCTGCTGCAGATTCCTCAACAACACCCTCAGGCAGAACAGAAACATATCCCTTGTTCATAACGATAAGTGACAACACACCTCGGTGATCGCTGACACTGTAAGACTATAACAGTGCTGCTCAGATGCTGCTGCTGCATTGACAAGTCACATTTACATATAGTCAGCCAGTAGTATGCCTGACTAACTGTTGGAGAAATGCCCACAACAAACAGGAACAAACATGTGCGTCTTGGAAAAGGATGGCTTTCTGACTACCAACAACGTGTGAATTTTTTTTAGCAGACTCAAAGTTAGCAAAACTTTATTTAGCGGAAGCTAATTTGTTCCGCTTATGGTTTCCGAAGTTAGCGGAAACTGTAATCCACTAAACAAAAAGTTAATTCTGCTAATTAGCAGTTTAAGGATTAGCAGAACTGTGCCTACCACTGGTCACTGATAATTATTTTTCCATAAAACTAAACCTTTTGGCATAAATACAGCATACGTTCTATGTTCTAGTTTTCCAAAAAAGACGACAGTTTTATTAAGTATAGTACTAATGCAGAGTCCATAGTATGCACATATTGTTCACTAATCTTTTTCTAGGTTGTACAGTGTAGCACCAAGATGTATAGCTGTGCTTAAATTCACTCCGTATTTTGGATTTATATTTTCAAGAAATATTGCTTTGGATGTCATTGAACTTCATTACCAATAGTTTTTACTTATTTTCAGTATGACAGATGTGTAGCTGCTAACAACACCCATGGTAAAATATTCCCAGTAAGTACATTGAAGGATCAGTTCTTCAAGTCTCACTGTGATGGATGGCATATTCAATTTTGCAGTGCTAAAAAACTTGGTCTTCATTACTGTTCTGGCATTCTCTACTGAGATAAAAAAACAATGCCTCGCTATACCCATTTCTTTGGTAGCTTTTTTTTTTTTTTGTTTGCAACATCAGTCGTCTCCCATCATAGCAGGGTGACCTGCAATAGGAGAAATAACAGGTTTTCTTCTTGGTACCTTTCTCTCTCTTGCAAATAAAATTTGACTTCATAGTAACCCCCATTTAGTGACAAGGATGTCTTTCATAGAAATTGGTTGCTGGGCAATTTTTACACTAAGTGGACATCATTTTCCCATAAACACCATTGTTGGAATTGGAGATGCATCCCAGGGAAAAGAATTCCAGTATACATTTCTTATTAAATCCAACTTTTTATGGACTGTAAGTATAAGATATGTCAATCAACATGAAATGAATATGATTACAGAAGTACATGTAGTACAAAATACACTATCATAATTAATAGTATTTAAGATTTATTTTTTTTTAATTTTTTTGACTTCATACATTTCTTTTTATGTACACCTACCATCCGACTTACAACCGAGTTCCGTTCCGAGAAACCGGCCGTAAGTCGAAATGGTCGTAAGACGAACTTTACTACTGAATATCAACATCACATTTTTGTAATGACTTTATTTTATTGTTTTACTTTACTTTTTATGCTGTTAGTACTGTATTTTATACTGTAAGGTTTAGGATAAACACTGTGTACAACACAAATAGTTGTTTATTTCCCAGAAATTTGGCAAAAAAAACACGGTCATAAGTCGAGTGGTCGTAAGTCGAGCAGGTCGTAAGTCGGATGGTAGGTGTATATGTTTGGGAAAAAATAATTGAAAATGGTGATTTTTATAATTTTAATAAGTTGGTATCAAGTATTTATTTTGTACTCTATTTTTTGTGCTTGTTTTTATATCAGATGCATTGATTTTTTTTTATATATAATTATTTGGTGTATGTGGGCTGGCTTGCCTCATATATTTTCATAAAAATCAGTCAAGTAATGTGGAAGTTTGTATTTCTGTCACAATGTTAGTAAGCGTCACTACAAGAAGTTACTAAACGAAGATACATTCGTATTGTTCATGAATGTATCTTTGTTTCCTAAGCAAAATGACACTTATACAGTTTTTTTTTTTTTAACAAACTGGCCATATCCCACCAAGGCAGGGTAACCTAAAGAGAAAAACGAAAGTTTCTCTTTTTAAATTTAGTAATGTATATAGGAGAAGGGGTTACTTGTCCCTTGCTCCCGGCATTTTAGCCGCCTCTTACAACACGCATGACTTTTGGAGGAAGAATTCTGTTCCACTTCTCCATGGAGATAGGAGATAGACAAGACCAAGAACTAGTAAGAAAATAGAAGAAAACCCTCTTTGGGTTTTTCTTTCTTTTTTGGTCACCATGCCTCAGTGGGAAAAAGCCAACATGTTAAAAAAAAAATGTATATATATATATATATGCTTGTGCATGCATGTATAGTGTGATCTAAGTGTAAGTAGAAGTAGCAAGATGTACCTGAAACCTTGCATGTTTCTTCTGTCTTTCAACAAACTGGCTATATCCCACTGAGGCAGGGTGGCCCAAAAAGAAAACTGAAAGTTTCTCCTTTTAAATTTAGTAATGTATACAGGGGAAGGGGTTACTAGCCCCTTGCTCCTGTCTACCAACCCACTACTACTTATGACTTTAACAGAATATCTTCATGTATAAGATCTCTTCATTAATTGTGTAGACTGGTTCATCATGACAGCAAAGTAGGTGGGACCTTGACACTTCTACAAATAACTGCAATATTTTTGTTTGCATTAATTTTCAACTGGAATCACATTTTAATTTTATAATGGGGCTCTATGGAAAAAAAATAAATTTAATTCAAGAGTACTTTTCTGAAACATCCTCTTCCATATAAGATAAACTTAGCTCAATGAGACTCAAATGTATTATTCTCTGCATTTTATTCACCATAACTTGTAGTTTAAATGGGACAGGTTTATGACGGATGAGCTAAACCATAGAATTGATGACGGAAAAAAGGTGGGTGATGCATTGAGGTATCTGTGGAGACAACGTTATCCATGGAGGCAAAGAAGGGAATGTATGAGAATATAGTGGTACCAACACTTATATGGGTGTGATGCACTAAAAGTATTATTCAAGAGGGCTAAGGAGGGTTTGTTGAGGTGGTTTGGTCATTTAGAGAGGATGAAGCAAAATAGGATGACTTTGAGGATGTATGAATATGTAGTGGAGGGAAGGAGGGGTAGAGGTTGTCCTAGGAAAGGATGGAGGGAGGGGGTAAAAGAGGTTTTGTGTGCAAGGGACTTGGACATAGAGCAGGACTGTGTGAGTGTTTTAGGGGTGAGTGGAGATGTATGGTTTTTGGGATTTGATGAGTTGTTGGAGAGTGAGCCAGGTAATATTTTGTGAAGGGATACAGGAAAACAGGTTAGCTGGACTTGAGCTCTGGAGGTGGGAAGTACAGTGCTTGCACTTTAAAGGAGGAGTTTTGGGATATTTGCTGTTTAGAGTGACATCTGGACTGTCTTATCTGCATGCCTCTGCAAAGACAGTGACAGTGTGAATGATGGTGAAAGTGTTTCTTTTTTGGGGGGTAACCCTTCCTCAGTTGGAGACAGCCAGCAAGTTTAAAAAAAAATAAGAAAAATCTAGCTACCCAATGAAGCTGAAGATAATTTTTTATAGCCTCAAGAGAGCATTCTACAATCTAAAACATGTTTATTACTTACAATTTCATCAGATTCCACCTGTTTTCTTACTTGATAGTCACCAAAAAAAATTGAAGTCTAGCATTTTTTTGAGTGAAGCATATCTTGTGATTTTTTAGTTAAACTTTTTTGTTATACATGTACTTTATTTCCAGTACATTTTGTATGTTTTAAATCTACCTAATTATGTTACAGGAAAATAATGATCCAGTAGTTGCTGATATCTATAAGGCTGGGGTGTTCCTTGGGTGCACATTCGGGGCAGCATGTATGTATATCTGGGCTGTAGGAATTTTGGCTGCTGGTCAGAGCTCAACCATGACTGGAACATATGTTGGACAGTTTGCAATGGAGGTAAGAAGTCTAGTTCTTCAAATGTGGAATTTTATTTAATTAAATTTGTTATATCCAAGGTTATCTTTAATTTGCATGTTCCCATTGCATAGTGTGAAGAAGGTGTTGGATGAGTGGGTTAGAGCATCCAGCAGGCATGTGTGAATGTGTGTGAGCATGTTTGAGTGTGTGTGATCAGAGTGAAGACAAGTAGTATTTGGGTTGTGATGTGCTGTATGACCTGAAGGAACTTGGGTGAATTGGTTAGCCAGACTTGAGTTTTGGGGGTTGGGTGGGGAGTATATTACCTGCACTCTGAAGGAGACAAATGGTTTTTGGGACTTGAGCTGTTGGAGTGTGAGCAAGGTAATATTTTGTGATATTGGCCAAATCAGATTTTGGTAGCTTTTTTGGCCAAAATTCTATCTTGGATTTCGGCCGGCAACTCGGAAATTGGCCGTATTGGACGCATTCGCCCGCCATGTGCGTGAGTCAGTCTGGCCGTCTCTCTTGGTGAGTGAGCAACACTCCGCGCATTCATCCAAACATTTCTTTATAATCCATTGTTTTTTGTGGTTGTTTATTGAGTGCAACTGCAAAATAAGCCACCATGGACTCAAAGTTCCTAGTGCCAGCCCTTTGGTAAAGGGCTGAAAGAGAGGGGAGAATGTGCTTTCTTCAATAATTCTACAATATGTATGATACTAAAGCAGCAGGAGTCGATAAAGGTAAAGTGCCAACCAGCGATAAAGTGTAGCATTAACAGTGTAGCAAGTAAGTTAAGCAATTAAGTGATAGAAAAAGGACATTAACTAACTCCTCCAATGTTGTTGGAGGTTTATAGGGCCACTGACAACATATGCTGCTCTTCTTATCTTCCACCACCCTAAACCTCTGCCAGCATCTCAATAACCACTTTATTTTTTTACATTCTCCACAATAACCACTTTATTTTTTTATGTTCTCTATTATGTTTTTATACAATATTTCTTATTTATAAATTACGTACGTACATTGTTTCATTGTGACTAGTGGTGTAACTAGTGGTGTTTCAGTGTGACTAGTAGTGTGTTTAGTGGTGGTGGCAACTGCTGTCACTGCTGCCACCACCACCATCACCACTACTATACGGCTTATGGTGTCTGGCCCTGATAAACCTAACAACAACAACATCACCACGACTAGTCACATACGTAATGACATATTTTATTCGTTCTAGAGTATATATCATATTTCTATGTTATTAATATTGTTTATGTCATATTAGATGAATTGTGACAGATAAATAAGCCATTGAATTGATATTAATGCCAACAAGAATTTTCAGTAAAGGTAAAAGTGATGTTAAATGTCCATTTATCCATTTCATTAGTCATTTTATTTAGTTCTCATTGCTTTATGTATGTAAAACTATAGTTAATCTTTAAAATATGTATTTTTTTGTTAATATTTTTAGGTGTCTGGAATGGATTAATTGTATTTACATTAGTTCTTATAGTAAATATTATTTTGGTTTTCGGCCTTTTCAGATTTAGGCCGACCTTCTGAAACGGATTATGGCCAATAACCGAGGGTCCTCTGTAATATAATAATAATAATTTAATGGGAATTACATGTATTATTGTACCAGTTTGGAATACGAGATTTTTAGCTGTATGCAAATGTTAGATATACACTAAACCTTTTCCAAAAATTTCTCCTGTGTTATCAAAGATAATTTGAATATTCTCTCTCTCTCTCTCTCTCATAGGGCTTCCTGAACCTCCGGTGGAAACGCTGGCAACGAGTTCTTCTCACACGTACTATTGCCATTACTCCAACTTTCTTTATTGCATTTTATCAGGTGATTATTACAGCCCAGCATATTTGATATATAACAGTATGTTTCCTAGGTAGTAGGTTGGTAGACAGCAACCGCCCAGGGAGGTACTACCGTCCTGCCAAGTGAGTGTAAAACGAAAGCCTGTAATTGTTTTACATGATGATAGGATTGCTGGTGTCCATTTTTCTGTCTCATAAACATGCAAGATTTCAGGTACGTCTTGCTACTTCTACTTACACTTAGGTCACACTACACATACATATACAAGGATATATATACACACCCCTCTGGGTTTTCTTTCTAGTTCTTGTCCTTGTTTATTTCCTCTTACCTCCATGGGGAAGTGGAACAGAATTCTTCCTCCGTAAGCCATGCGTGTTGTAAGAGGCGACTAAAATGCCAGGAGCAAGGGGCTAGTAACCCCTTCTCCTGTATATACATATTACTAAATGTACAAGGAGAAACTTTTGTTTTTCCTTTTGGGCCACCCCACCTAGGTGGGATACAGCTGGTGTGTTGAAAGAAAGAAAGAACATTATGTTTATGTGAATTATTACTTTTAGAAAGTTTACTTAATGTTTGGTGCTATTTATTTTTGTAAATCTCCTATAATTTCCTATATAGAATACCTGAAAGTACTACGTAATTTTTACAGTTTTGTTTACAATGTCAATGAAAGGTTATAAGGGAGTAGGAGGATTTTTACCTAAGTGTGGGAATTGATTGGGCATTTTGGAGTGAATACCAAATGCAGTTCATCTTTCAATCACTATTGAATTGTAAATGTAACAAGAATGACTTTGCAACTAGGTAACTGGTTTGTTATTGAAAAATAAAGGTTGTGCTTAATGTGTTTGCAGAACATCACCGACCTTACTGGGATGAACGACCTTCTGAATGCTGTTATGTCACTTCAGCTGCCCTTCGCTCTCATACCAACTCTGACATTTACCTCATCACAACGTATCATGGGAGATTTTAAAAATGGATTGTATGTTGTTTTATTTCTACTTGCTGTTTTATGTCTAAGGAAAATCACTTGGAATGGCTCATGTCATTTTGTGTTTTTTCTTTTGTTCTTTTTTAATGTTCATATACTGTTTTAGCTTATAAACAATAGTAGTTCTTATTTAATGCTCAAATACTGTTTTAGCTAATAAACAATAGTTGTGCTATAACAAATTTATTATTGTTTCAGTGAAATGCAAGTTGATGTAAATTTTTTATTTCAGATTCACCAATATTATAGCTTCCCTCTTGTCACTGGTAGTGATCGGTATTAATATATGGTTCGTGATAGATTTCTTGGGCACAATTCTCAATGGGCAATGGTGGGCTTACCTTCTGGTGTGTGTGTGCGCGATCCTTTACTTTAGTCTCATCGTCTACCTGACGTTGTTCCTCGTGGTAGCATTTGGTTTTCACTTCTGTTGCAGCTTACCGGTAAGTACCAGAGGCAGTGTTCATTGTTTTTTATGGTGGTTGATATTGAATTAACATGAGATTCAAAGATTTTTGAGGTTGTAGGTTTAACCATTTGTGATTTTCTGTTTGTAGTTACAGGAACAGAGCAGTGCTAATATAATAAGAATTGTGGAGGATTTCATTAGGACTACTGGCCCATGCTAGGGAGGTCTTTCTCAGACCCAAAACATTTTACTCTTGGTGTCCAATCTTTGGATGTTTATTTTTTTAATTATTTTTTTATAATTTGTGAAGCTATGGATTTTAGTATATATCCTCTTCCCATGTTTTTTCTAATATATAATTTTTGTCTTTGTGTTTTCTTTGTTGGTGTTAAAATCATTATCTTAACTTTGTCTATTTTTAAAATGCTTAATGTCCTCATGTATGATTATCATGTTTTCTCTTTAAATCTGATTTATCTATGAAGAAATTTTCAGTGTTTCAAGATTTTTTTTGTAAGTGATCTCCATAAGCTCTTGGTACTGTATTGTATCCTGTCTATGGATTTTTTTTTTTTGTTATCTTTGTGATTTTTGGGTGTGGTAACTATACTACAGCTGCACATTTTAATATTGGACAAAAGTATGTTATGAATAGAATTTTTTTTTAACCACATTGGCCATTTCCTACCACAGTGGCATAACCCAAAGAAGAAACCATATTCACTGTTCTTTCATTATCTGTCTTGCAAGAAGTATGCAGATTCCATCACAGTTCAAATGACGCTCCCTCCTGTGTCTAGAATATTGTCTCACTTGCTGTAATCTATATTCTTCATGAGGTCTGATTTTTGTTTTCTTCTGTTTCCATTACATGACACTGTATCTGCTCACGATAAAGTTTATCGTTTGTATCACCATGTTACACCCATCTCATCTGCAGACATGTTCCTTTAGATATTTATTTACTCTGGTGAATAATTATGTAAAATAAAATTATTATTGGGGTGAGTACCATAATTTAATACCAAAACAATGTCCAAAAATCAATGTCCAAATATATGCAGTACAGTAATCATTAATAATTTAAAATAAAATTTTGATTACATGACATTTGATAGAACAGAGGTGAGAAGATGGGAGATATTTTTGAAAGAAAGAGAAAAGTTGTTTATTAAATAGCATGGTAATCTGTAGTGCTAGAGGCTGAGTAGAACTTACTGAAGTAAGTGGCTGCTTATGCATGTGCTGCTCATGAAGATGTAAAGGCATCGACTTCATGTTTTTATTGATTTAAAGACCCTTTTGGGTTTAGCACTTACTTTGATTATACTAGGTAAAAGGACCTGGACAGTGTGTATTATGGATATGTTTCTCTTGCCAAGAGCTTCATGAAGTCAATACCCAGACTCTTCAGGAGGTTTATCAAGTCAGTATCCAAGTTCTTCAGGAACTTGATTAAGTTCTTGGAGGCAAAACACAACAGTAATATGTCTCATTGATTATTCTTTCTCTCATTAGCTGCTCTTATCTCATTAGTTGCTCTTGCTCTCATTAGTTACTTTTATCTCATTAGTTGCTCTCATCTCATTAGTTGCTCTTGCTCTCATTAGTTGCTCTTGTTAGTTGCTCTTATCTCAATTGAAAGTATGGTAACTTGGGCTTCATAGCTCTGATCTCCAACACCTGCTCTCTTTCTCCATTGTTTGAATACCACATTTCTTTTCTGGTATGTATTGCCTCATATAATGGTCAGTGTAGTTTTATATTATACTGCAGGTGGTCACATTAGAATTTAAATGAGAGAAAAAGGTAAGAATGATGTAAACTAATGTATGTGATTCACAGATCAGTTATTTGTACAAGATTTTTTAACCCTTTGACTGTTTTGGTTGTACAGTGGACCCCCGGTTAACGACATTTTTTCACTCCAGAAGTATGTTCAGGTGCCAGTACTTACTGAATTTGTTCCCATAAGAAATATTGTGAAGTAGATTAGTCCATTTCAGACCCCCAAACATACACGTACAAACGCACTTACATAAATACACTTACATAATTGGTCGCATTCGGAGGTAATCGTTATGCGGGGTCCACTGTATATATGTATACGTCTTACGAGCCAGTGTTTTGGATGTGCGGTGGACCCTCGACTAACGCTATTAATCCGTTCCTGAGAGCTCATCGTTAGTCAAAATTATCGTTAGTCAAGTTAATTTTCCCCATAAGAAATAATGGAAATCAAATTAATCCGTGTAGGACACCCCAAAGTATGAAAAAAAAAAATTGTTTTTACCACATGAAATATTAATTTTAATACACACAAACTGAAGAAGATATGCACAGTTACATGACACTTTCCTTTATTGAAGATCTGGTGATGATTGATGGGATGGGAGGAGGAGAGAGTGTTGATGGTCTTAGTGTTTAGAAGGGGAATCCCCTTCCATTAGGACTTGAGGTGTCAAGTCCTTTTACGGGGTTACTTCCCTTCCCTTTAAATCTCTCAAACCAACCTTTGCTGGCCTTAAATTCACTCACATCACCACTAGTTGCTGGCATTTTTTTAATTAAATTGTCATGCAACTTCCTAGCCTTTTCACATATGATCGCTTGAGAGATGCTATCTCCTGCTATCTGTTTTTCGTTTATCCACACCAATAACGGTCTCTCAACATCTTCGAGTACTTGCGATCTCAGTTTCGAAAACATAGTTGCACCTTTGGCAAGAACAGCTTCCTTGATTGCCGTTTTCTTGGCCACAATAGTAGCGATGGTTGATTGGGGTTTTGTGTACAACCTGGCCAGCTCGGAGACACGCACTCCACTTTCATACTTAGCAATGATCTCTTTCTTCATATCCACAGTAATTCTCACCCTTTTTGCTGTAGACTTGGCACTAGAAGCTTTCTTGGGGCCCATGGTGACTTATTTTGCAGGTGCAATCACTAAAAAGGCTGTGATAATATGAAATGTTCCGATTGTATGACTAGAAGCGACCGCGGTGGCTGGCTGGCTTGTAAACACTGGCCAGAAGTGGACGCGTCTCAGATGGAACGATAGTGTTGGTCGAGTTTTTTAGCGCTAGTCGAGGCAAAAATTTTGTGTTAAAATGTATCGCTAGTCGGATTTATTGTTAATCGATGCCATCGTTGGTCGAGGGTCCACTGTATATATACTCAATAATTCTAGCGGCTTCAAATCAAGCAGGAGAAAGCTGGTAGGCCCACATGTGAGAGAATGGGTCTGTGTGGTCAGTGTGCACCACATAAAAAAATCCTGCAGCACGCAGTGCATAATGAGAAAAAAAAATGAACGTTTTTTTGGATTAAAATGCCGACTTTGAGGTGTATTTTCGTATAGTATTTATCATTGTATTCTTGTTTTCATGGTCTCACTTGATGAAATGGAAAACATGTTGTAGAAATATAGATGATTTTGATTAGTTTCACGATGAAAACGACCTTGAAATTGAGCTCAAAGTAGTGGAAATCTTCGATTTTTAACAATGTTCAAGAGTAAGCAAATCACACCACACGTCCAATACACGTCAACTGGGGAGTCTAATATTCTTTCACTAGTGCACTGATATTATTTATACCATTTTTACAATAATGCAGTAGTCTGCATAACAGTAAATTTTGTATTTTTTGTATGAATAAAAAATCAAAATATAATGCAATAGTAATGTAAGAGGGGCCTAGAGACGTGATTAATGAACAGAGGCTATGTTATTTTAGTGCCAAGAATGTCTACATTGTTTATTTTAGACCCTATTTTGAAATTGGCATCTTTTTTTAATTTGCATGAAATTGGCCAAATTGCCAATTTCTGACCACTTTATTGGGTAGTTCAAATTGGTAAATGGGCAGTTTCTTATATTCAGTTGATAGAAAAAATGGAGTTCTAAAGAAATAGCTATGAGTTTGGTCAACTGGAACAACAGAATTGGGCAAAAACAGGGCTCAAAGTCGGCGAAATCGCCGATGCGTATATGTCGCTGAGACCGCTAACTTTGCGGGAGCGTAATTTTGTGAGTTTTCGACCAAATTTCATACTTTTGGTGTCATTACCATCGGGAAAAGATTCTCTGTCATTTCATAAGAAAAAATAATTTTGTTTTTTCCAAAAATTTGGCAACATAGAATGACAGTTTCAGAAAGGGGCTTGCGACAGCCAAAGGGTTAAGCGTTTCCTAATACGTACTTCTTAAAGCATGAAGAATAAATACTGTCAATAAATTTATTTCTCTACTCTATACAATGTATGATTTCCAGTGGATAATATTAGGTACAGTATATCAGACAAAACTGCAGTGCAAGTTTTTCCCATGTGAAAAATTTTGATAGGAAAGTTAGCAACAGGCATTTAAAAAAAATATAAAGAAAAATAATAATGAATGCAGAACAAGTTAGTTGACATGTGGAGTTCAGATAAGAAAAATGGTCAGACATAATGAGAGTTTTCTTAGGAAGTAATGGTATAATATACTGATATGATGGAAAAAGACTCACAGATGCAGTAAGAAACATTTGTCAAGTGACTTGATAAAGCCCTCGTAAAGGATTGCATTATTCCACACTTGTCTCCCTTTTTCTAAATGTTTCCTTCTTTGGGTTACCCTACCTTGACAGGATATTGTTGATGTGGCAAAACATAGAGAGTATATTATCATACTGTTCTAAATATTAATGTATTAAAGGTTGGGGGATCTGAGTGTTTGCTGCATCCTTTGTATGAGCACATTGTCACATCCAGTATTGCTTGTGTCCACCATGACGGCTTCAATAATTAACTTATGGCACCTGAGAAAAGCATTGTTTTTCAGATACTAGCCTTTGTAAATTGACATAATAATGTAAATATTGTTTCTTTACTGGGCACCAAGTTCAGCTGTGTGGTCCCTCTTCTGAGGAACCACACAACTGATTGGAGCACCTCAACAGTGTTGTTCCAGTCACTGGTGAATTCATTGCTATCTTTCTTTTTGCATGTAATTTCAGTGATGTGTGTCTAATTTGCCTCTTTGGAAAATAC